GATCCTATGAAAGATCTGATTCTTCCTGAAGATCGCTTCAGCCAGTGCATTTCATCTTCTCAGAAATGCTATCTATATAAAAAAAAAAATTAAGAATGCAGGGCATCAATCGTCCCGAGAAAGCTAGTTCTTTGGCAGGGAAAGAGCGGAAAACTTTCTCCGGCCAAAGAAAACCTCAAACGAACAAGTCACAAGAAAGTATAAAAAAAACTCCCCCTCTCCGCAGAGAGTGGTGTGGCCATGATACCAAAAACAAAAGAAGTGCTTCGACAGCGAGCGCGACCCTGTGGCGCCACGGTTTGCAAAGTTTCGGGATCAGCGGCGCACGCACATAGGCAGCCCGTAATTTGCCTGTTTCTATTTTGTATGCTTAGAGTTCTAGCCAAGAAAGTCTGGTAGTTTGTATTCGTCCGGTTACGACACCGGGGCGCCAGCAATGCCAGCGGCTGCCGCGCGCAACCTCCGTAGCCGTCCCAAGCAAAGAAAAAAAAAAGTTTTCTTTTCATATATATGTTTCGGCGTCTGCAAGCCGCGATCTTTCTCGTACAACACTTTAGTCGATCCGATCAGGCCTTGGACTGTGACTTAGCGGCGCATCTGCCCGCTGGCTGACACGAAACACCGCGAGACTCGAGGCGGCCGCATACGCTCTGTAACACCACAGAAAGGATTTTGTCTTTCCGCCACTGCTTCTCCTCCTCTCTTCCCGAACTTTTTTGATCTTTATTTTTCTGACATTTTTTCTAAACGTTGAGACTTCAGGGGAGAGTTAAGAGACCACAGGTGAAAGCTTCCGATTCTGCGTGCGGCGGGGAAAAACGCGGTTGGCGTGATTTCCGCTGATTTTGCTAGTATAAATGTAGTCGTAACCTCTGGTGGTTAGTAAGAACGTCGACATGTTTCCACATTTTGCGGATGCGGTTCGGATACGGATACAAAGTGTGCGCAGGGCTCTACATATTTGTAAGTTTATTAGTTTTGTGATGCCGCATAGCTGCCAACCATGTACTTTTACACTTCAATATAGAGCCACTATGATGTGCTCAAGAGAATAACCAAATTAAAAAGATAAATGCGCCTTAATGCAAGTACAAAAAGGTTAAAAAGAAAAATGGTAGTGATAATAGGAATCCTTCGTAGGTCACCGAATATCGAAAAGTGTTTCTACTCTCGCTCTTCAGTTGACTGAACAATACTGTCATTGCTCCACCAAATATGTGTGACCGACGTAATGATATTTCAGATTCAACGCTTAACAAAATGTTTTATATTTTAACGGTATTATATCTACGCAAACTATTCCGTCACCTCTGCCGCAATCTTGGTTGTTGAACAATAGCAATAAGTAAATTACAACTACACTGAAAAAAAAATAGCGGACTCGTAATGCGTCTACGTATCATGACCTTCAACTAAAGAGTATGATCATCTTGCATTGACGGCGGCCTCGGTATATATAGACTTAAACTGATATCTGCGTATTCCACAACAGAACAAAGGTCCTAATATTTTGCACGCACCGGCAGACCTATGACGGACGAATTCACTAGCGGGCAGCTCTTGTAAGCCTTTGTAGTAATTGATCAGAAGACAGAAGAAAGTCGACTGTCAAGGGCTCATCTACATTTCCCTGCGAACTTTATTTGGAACAGCTAAAATTGATTTCATCTGCAGACTTGACTGAGGGAGGTGAAATGTAATGCTAGATAAAAAACATGATGAAGTCTAACATGAAATTAACTGAATCGGGGTATCTCAAACAAATAGCTCTTCATTAGCGAAGGAGAGCGACGGATGGCCCTTGCATTGCATGAGCATCAGGTTGCCGAACTCTGGAGGTCTTGCCATATTTTTTGTTGAATGAAATAAATATTTAAATGTACATCGGTGGTTCTCAACGATATTAGTTGGCTGGCTCTAAAATTGGACATTCTTATTCGTATCCAGCATACTGAAAATGGCGTTTATACTTGCTCCTTGCGGTAACAGCCGCGGGTGTATAGCTGTTTTTATTGCCATTTTAAAGCACCATTATACCGCGTCCTTGAGAGGAGAGAAAACTGATTTTATTTCCTCGTCAGAAAAATTAAATATGCATCGACAAACACTCAGCCCTCACCCAGTATATTTTACTACTCTTTTGAACCAGATGGCGAAGTTTTGTAACATCATGTTATCTGATTTAATGTTCAATTCAAGTTTTCAAAATGTTAAGTAAGAATTTGTCGACCAGCAACGACGCGAATAAATAGAGAGGAATGGCGTCTACCACAGGGTGCGGGTCCTATTTTTCCATGAAAATGTCTAAAAATGTGTCAAATTTTGATGATATACCACTTTTTTTACTTTGGTATTTTAACAGGTGCCGCTACATCTTGGTCATGGCTGAGCGTTTGACTATGCAAACTTTACTTCAAAGTTTGAATGGCACCATCCTTTGCGCACAAGACATGGCGTATGAAAATTTGCGTGCCATTTGTCTCTGCTTTTATATATCCATCTTTACCTTTTTCAAAAATATGTGGAAGATGAAATGTTTGTATTTCTCACAAAGTATCAGGTAGGGGAATGTGGGCACCCGACAGAGTCACAAGGCAGGCCATATTTTTTGGTAACTTTGTCCTTTTTGGCGGACTCTTGCTCCTCCAAGGTTACTAAATCTATTATTTTGTTCAATCATGCATTAAGCAACCATAAAAACCATACAATGAGGTAAGCTAATGTAGAAAAAAAATGTATTGCAAAAATTTCCGCAAATTGTTTTAATACAAGTGAGCCAGGTCATTTCTGACAAAAGTGGACAATAAACATCAAGTTGATTAAAAAAAAAGGTAACATAAATCATGATGTAAATCGTGATCTAAAACACACAGGCTTTGCAATTATGATTTAGATTATATCTTTCCCGCAGAAATATATCCCGAATACATTTTATTGATTGTCTACTATTGCATATTTTCATTGCACACTTGTTTTGTGCTTTAATGAAAGAGTCATGGAGCGAAAATGACTGTAGGAGGCACCAGCGTAATTATTTGTATGTGCAACTTAATGTTGAACATCTTCATATGTTGCACTTTGACAGTCATATACTGACCCACTGCGAGTAAATGAAAACGTGAAGAAAACCAAGACAAGAAAACCAGTCATATGCGAGCACATTGTAGAGCGAACGAACAACCAAATAAATCTCTTTCACCCACTACCAAAATATTCTGTTTTCTTTTTTGTTTGTAGTAGGACGGGTTTATAGAGGCAATAATTGGTTAATTAAACTAAACTTTAGCAATTAAAACTTTTATCTCAATATTTGAGCAAATTAGAATAATCAATATGCCGCGTTTAAAAGGAAATATAGTGATAAAAATTGTTTGTTTTCTAGCTCCCGGTATTTCAATCAAATGTGTCGTATTTAAATTGATTAAAAAATATTTGTATGAAAGAAGTTTATTTATTTGATTTTTTTAAGAAAAAAGTTAAATGTTTTTAACCCGTCTCGAGATCATCGCTTTAAAAGGCAGCGTCATTCGCGATATCAATTTATGAATTTTTTAAATGTATTTTTACGTTACTTTGCATAACACCGTGGTGAGTGGTTTGATAAAGACATATCCCTGGTTACCAGCGTGCCCAGCAAAGAGCTTCGGTGAAAGCCAAGACACTGTTCACTCTGCGGCACGTAGACTGCGCACTCATTTTCCACCCCTATTAAAAATGTATTGCCATACAACAGACAATATAGGCTTGCAAGTTGTAAATCATGTTACCTAGACAATAGACAATGTAGACAAAATTTTTGTGACAAAATCCCTCCGCAACGAAAAATGAAGTCTCACAAGACATGATGTTGTCGCGTGATATTAAGGAGTCTAGCGAAACTTCGACGCAAAGTGACACCATAGCGTCGCTTGACGTCATATGATGCCACGGTAATACACAACACCGACGTGATGATCAGCTGTGATACCTCTCCAGTCAAATCTATCTTTAAAAAAAATATAATCTACCTCACATTATCTTTTTTGTTGTAGCGTGATTTGATAAAAAATAAAATCATGAGCCATTAAACCATGTGAAGGTGGATAACCAGCGAAGCTGTTTAGCACCCGACACAGATTTGACGGAATTTTAAACAAAGATACCAACACATTTATTATCTTGATCGGCGATCATCGTCACAAATGTTACGCACACACATTTATTGTTGTCTTCATCGGTGGTCGTTGTTTCGCGTCGGCGACTATCGCCGCCCCGAGGAGCTGGAGGAACCTAGACACGCGCGACAGGAACGCCACCCCGCGGAAAGTAGACACGCGCAATGGGACCACCGCGCCGAGAGAGCGGAAGGAAAGAAAACTAGGTACGCGAGCGCTTGGAACAACGACAAACAGAGGGCGGTGCGAGCGTAGACATGGCCGGCGCGGATCGCACAGCGGCAAATCTTTAAGAAACCTTTATTATCTACCTGAAAGCCTACTGATCTTGAAAATGGTGCCTAGTGATAACTAATCTACTGAAAAAACCTACTGCTTAATTACACAAGTGCCTAGGAGAATGCAGGCCATGGTGTTCCACGCGCCGCACGTGCCGGCGCCAACAGCAGTAACTGTTCTAAAGCAAAAGCCTAAAACAAACGGCATCTTGCACACGCGTTCGTTAAGGATTTATTTTTGTTATTTACTTCCAATCTTTTATACGGGAAAGGCGTGTGCGTGCGGCGCCGTCGACGGTGCGAGCGTAGAGTTTTTGTTGTCCCACATAAAAAATCCACGAAACCCTCGCCGTAAAGAGCTTGGCTGTAAAAAAAAATGTGATGGTAAAAGAAACAGCGTATTCACGCTTCCATGGCGCTCTCGCTTGTGCGGATTCGAGCACTCTTCTTCTTGTATAAAGCCGATCGGGGTGTTAGAGGGAAATGATTGTAGCAGATAGGCATTAGATTACATCTAGGAACAATATTCTTACCGTATAAGCTTCACTAAAATGGGCGCATCGCTCACCTGCTTTGGCTGTAGAAAAATCTGTTGAGTTGTGTGCTCCACAACCATAGTAGTTACATCCTCTCACTGACGCCGTATAGAAGGTTCCTGAGTGCAAGTTTATTAGCGTCACGATTCCAGACCAATGAGACGCTGACCAGTTGTAAAGGCTGCTTATTTTGCAGTTATCTTTCTCATCGGTGCAGTTTAACCAGGTCGTGTGGTTTTGTGAGACCTGCGGGTACATGTAAAAATGTATTATGAGACGTGAAAGAACTGAAGTTCATATACACTCGTAATATTCATTATGAAGTTATAAATGAAACGTTTACGTGAAACTTAAACTATTTACAAAAAGATATTGTAAATATATTTTTCAACTTGCCTGCACTAGAACAGTTTCGGTGTCATCAAACGTCCAGTTTAGTGCTGCAGTATTGACACTGCTTCCTAGAAGTCCTATGGATGGTGCAGCTGGAACTAGATATGAAGAAGATTTAGTAGGCGCTTTTTATGTGTGCGGCCATAATCATTAAGGTATCAGAAATACCACTTCCTAATTCATGATAATATAGACATTATATATAAAAATGTTTAGAATTTCGGCAAAAATATATGACTGCGTTAGCATATCTGAATAGTTGTCCAATTGTATTTCATATATCAACAACAAGAAAGTGCAGTAGATTGAAAATGGGCGTTTTAAATGTTGTATTTTATATAAAGTATTGCCAATTTCATTTGAAAAAGTAATGAATATTTCTGTAAAAAAAATTGAAACATTATCAATATTGCAGAAGCTCACAAGAAAAGAAAAAGTATGTCGGGAGCAGGAAAATAGAACTACGGGAATTTAGAATTTAACCATGTTTTCACAACCTACATTATGTGAAATTGAGTATTTTTACAACTTCGATCATTTCCCTCAAAAAGTTACATTCTCGTACAATTAAGTGAAGTTTATCTTTCCTTTTGTTACACTTCAATTTTGGATTTCAGGTATCTGCTCCACTATGTTTTAGCACTTCTAATAAACAGAGCACGCATCTATAACGAGACCCTTGCGACCTGCTCAAGGATTGCAAGGCAAGAAAAAACACAGTGAATTAACTGCCGCTGAACGATGCTCTCTGAGCATTTAAAATTATTAGCTTTAACAAAGCCTAACTAAAATATGATCGTATTATATTAAAAAAGAATTTGCTTAAACTCAGCATTTTAATGTTTAGCTTTTCAATTTTGGCAATCAAATACGTACGTGCTTTATAAATGAAGCAACTATAATAAACCCATACGGCTAAATGATTTCACAGATAATATAAAAATATTAGAAATCACGTGCGCAGGCAAAGTCGTTGTTGCAGCGCGATAAGAGAGTGCACAATGAGTCTGCAGAGCGCAGTTAATATCGTGACCCATTGCAGTTCTGGAGGTACGTCAAGAACCGTACAGCCACAGCTGCATCGACAACAAACATCGCTGACTCATCTGGAATTTCGATTAGTGAACCCGAAGATGTAGCGAAAGTGTTTGCGAGCTATTTTGCCTCTGTATATTCTTTAGCCAGAATGGTTTATCTGCGCCTGACGTTGGTGACAGTGGTAGCGATTGCCTATCAATCCCATTATTTGAAATCGCTGACATTAAACTTGCAATCCAAAAACTAAAACCCAAGTTATCGGTCGCATTTGACGGCATCCCGAGTTTTATTGTCAAAGGATGCTCTTCCATTTTCACACCCATTCTAACGCATATTTTTAACCTTTCATTATCAACTTGCACTCTTCCTTTGATCTGGAAAAACGCGATAACCATGCCGATACATAAGAAAGGAAGAACAGATGATCCAAAAAACTATAGACCCATTTCATTATTATGTCCATTTGCAAAGGTTTACGAAATAGTACTTTCGGGACATATTTCGAGCTTTTTTATACATAAGATCCTGCCCTCACAACACGGTTTTGTGCGCGGAAGATCAGTGGAATCAAACTTGGTGTCTTTTCTCAATTTCGTTTCGCCTATCGTGTATCAGCGGGGTCAGGTTGACACTGTATATTTTGACATGTCTAAGGCATTCGATTTGGTTGATCACTCGCTACTTTTACAAAAGCTGAAATCGTACGGTATGAGCACTACACTATGCAGATTGCTTCACAATTATTTGTCCGATAGACAGAACTTTGTACGTATCCTCGGTCATCTCTCCCGGCCTTTTGTCACCCTGTCTGGTGTTCCCCAGGGGTCTATCCTTGGACCGATTCTTTTTAATGTTTTCATAAACGACCTTCGCTCATGTGTTATACACTAAGAAATCCTGCAATACGCCGATGACATCAAGTTATTTAGGCAGATAGTATCTGTAGAGGGCTGTGTGAAGCTAATGGATGATGTAAAATCAGTGAGCAATTGGTGTAGTCTCAACAGGCTGACACTTAATCCCACTAAGACTGTTGTTATGTCATTTGCTAAGAAGCTAAGGCCTTTTCATTTTTGTTACGAACTCGGCAATGCCCTATTGCAAAGGGTGGATTGCACTCGTGATCTTGGTGTTTATATAGACTATTCTCTGTCAATTTAATACAGATGTCAATAACATTGTCAACGGGTTTTTTCGTACGTTAGGTGTCAGATCCAGAATTACAAGCGAGTTTTCCATGTCGGCCTGTATTATGCAGTTATACTTTTCATTAATTAGGTCTAAGCTAGAGTTATCAACAGTTGTGTGGAATTCTATTGGGCGTACGCACCAAGAGTCGATTGAAAATGTCCAGAAACGTGTTTTTTTTTCGAATTTTTTACGACCGCTATGTTGGTTGCACTGTTTACTTTGAATATAGAAGACTTTTAGAGCGATACAATTGTTCTACTCTGAGTGCCAGACGACGCGACAGAGATCTTCTATTTTTGTTCAAATGCCTTCACGGAGTCATTGATTGCCCTGACCTAACTTCATCGATAAATATTCATGTTCCGAGAAGATTTCTGCGAATTTCTCTTCCATTTTATGTTAATGAATTCTTTCGAACCTGCCCCATGACACGTATTCAGACCTTTTATAATACTTTCAATGATTCTTGCATTGACATTTTTAACCCATCTTTTGCAGCGTTCAAGTTTTCTCTCGCAAATCTATAAACATCTTTGTAGCGTTCAAGTTTTCTATTGTCAATTTGTAGAATTATACTTCTTTTTGCTGTATGTTAACTGTGAATCATTATCAAGGCTTCAAGCTGTTCATGAGCACAAAAAATAAACAAATGAATGAATGAAATACCTTGTAGAATGGTTTGAGCTGCAATGCTCGTAGATGGCCCGCAACCTTGCTTTGTACATCCTCTCACATATAGGACATAGGAGGAGCCGGGTTCTAGCTTACTGAGAGTGAGGAGTCCCTCAATGTATAGTTGTCTCTCTTCCACTGGACGTCTCGTTGAACTTAAGCAATGATTTGCATCGATACAATCAAGCCATGTCTCATTGTTTCGAGAAACCTGCGAATCGTTATAAAGTACATTGATCTCAATTAATTTCCTCATTACTACAATTAAGTGCTAAATATATCTAAACTTTCTAAATAAGTTTGAAGGAATAGGGGTCTGAGGTTTATCAAATAAAGGAAGGTATCAAACATTTATATGGTCCGCTCGACTATAAGGACACATCAAAACCCCAAAACAATCGTGACATAATTAGGAAGCACATGAACATGTCTCAAGAGTTTGTTTGCTTACAAGCGATTTGTTTTAGTAATTGCATCAAATTAAAAACGTCAGATATTGCTTAGAAGAGGTGGAAAATTCCCAGCAAGTAATAGTGCCGAAATAAACTTACACCAAGCTATTTCCTTTAACTAAGCCGTAGAATTACATGTCGAATAATTTATTTTATACAGTATTGACTTCTGTGCAATGTGACACAATCACCGCGAAAAAAGGATGCAGTGTGGAAACAACTTTTTCAACGGCATCTTTAAAAAAAAATATTGCTTTGTTTATCAGAGTTGAACGCTGAGCGGTAAAATGTTTGAAACCTTTCAATTACTATATATATATATATAAACATATTAAGTTGGGCTAGTTTGTGGTTTATCTGAATTGAACACGTAAAAACAGGGACAAGGGGAAGAAGAGACAACACGTTGCATACTCGCAACTGAAAGTTTAATTTGAAAAACACAGACATATAATTTTATATATAGTTGTATAATTTGTACATTCTATTGCTCAATAAAAATGATTTCTCTATTGCATAGTTTGTACTGTGCATATCTGGCATAAACACATGCCGCCAACATTGTGCTCTTTATATGAAATGAGTCCTCAATACTTTTGATAATCGGTTACTAAACGAGCGATTTGCCTTTCAGCTATTTTTTTCTTTCATGCAGCATGCCTTGCTAGTGCGCATTATGTTTGCCTTAAATTGGGTGTGCCATGCGTCCCAATTGTGTTTCTAATGCTTCTCTTACCTTACTGGGCAACATGATGGCAAGATGGCTTTGCAGGGGGTGCCCTTACAGGGTCATCTCTCTTCGTTTTTATCGGTGTGTTTAAAGAAAAAAAATTGAATGCAAAGGTACGCGCTTACGGAAGAAACTTCAAATGCCAAAAACAGCGGGGGTAACTGCTCTCCCCATTTTTGATTGCCTTAATAAAAGCCAAATTTCACAACACAAATTTTTCCAGAAAACTACAATTTGAGAGCAAATTTTACATCACCGAACTCATTAAGGCGAATCAGTTGCATTTTGTTTTTGTTTTTTTTATAAAGTGTACTTTGTAACATACGTGTCATATCCACGTACCTCAGTACATTTCCTTATGTTTCCGTATCCTGTTGCACATGTCTATTGAAGGGTCGACGTCCCTAAATTGGAGCACATTTAAAACTCAATACATACTTAAAATATCTCATTGCATAAAAATTACGCAATTTATTTAGCGAGAAAGTTTTATTTGGTACCCTTTAGGCGCCCATTTTTTAATTACGCAAAATAAAGGTACTTCAGGCGGCTATAATTTTATTGGAAATCTCAGAGATGACTCTGGGGTCCTAACCGGCGGCGCCAAACGGAACCAAGGGCCAGGAACATCACAGCCTGCTGCAATTGGTCAAAGCTGCGCTGCTGACCAGCCACTGAGGCGGCGGTGTAAAGGTCCTTTGATCCCGCTTGGTCCTGCCGCTTGTATTAGAAACCCTGGTGTTACTTCAGGTAGTCTAATGTGAGGATGACCAGAGGTTTGAGATGAGCATGGTGAATATACATCACTTTCGCTCAAAGTGGAGGCCTAAGAGATAAACAGATTTATATACTGCCACCTAACGTACAATCTCACAACTTTGATATCAGATTATTGTTCCAATAGTTTGGTATAAAGGATCCCCGCACATTGACATTCCAGAAAGCTAGATGTGCAACTCACCTGAACAACTTCCAGAGTGCTGTTGTCAAAACGCCACTGCACCACCACAGAGCTTGCCGTGTGTCCGCCATATTCTAGAACCGGAGCTGATGGAGCTTCAGAAATCAAATCAAAAGTTAACTTTGCTCAATTTCTTCAAAAGAAAATGCTACTAATATACACCGACGTATTGAGGCGCCAAATACGTTCGCTGATCAATATAAGTAGAATTCAGCTGATTAAAGCCAGAATATAAATCGTCGATGTGAATTATACTTTACAGGATGGAAAATTGAGCTAGTTTCTACGGTAGAATAGAGTAAAGCTGCGCGAAAAGTCAGCGGACGAAAAACAGGAACTGACAGGACCAAGCGATAATCCTCTTAGTTTCCGGTCAGCGCCCGTTGTCTTTTGATGTTGTTTTAGAGTATGCGAATTACTGGTGCGGTGTGCAATGCGCATTCAGCGTTTCCTTTTTGCGAAAATATAGTTCGTGCCCCGTAAGCAATATCCCGAGGAAAAAGGTAATCGGGGAGGATCAAGTCCAATCCCATAAATTGAGCGGAGAAAACCTAGATCGAACGTCCGGTGGTTGTCGTGGCACTGAGATTTCTTTTTTGCGTTTTGCTCTCACGCGCTCTCTAATACAGCTGCCTTGTATTCGGCCATTTATGTAAGTTTTATAAGCTCGACATTCTTGTGTGTGCTGCTGTCGGTGCAAATATATCGCCCGCCCCTACTCTTTAGCAAGTGATATCATGAGAGATCTAAAGAAACCAACTAAACAGTACACTAAAAAAGACAGTTGGGCTGGTTGGTGTACGTTCATGACAAAAAACAGCGCGAAAACCACAAGAACACAGAGAATAAAATTACAATCAGCGCCTTGTCCTTTGTGGAATTCCCCGTCTGTGTCCTTCTGATTTCCCCGCCGTGTGTCATCATCGACCAAACAGCCTCACGTTCATGGACACTGCAGCTACTATATAGTCACGGATGGAGTGAGGGAGGCAGGTAGACTTTTTCGAAAGGTGGGTCTCCATTAGTGGTTCGTTTCTCTCTTTTGTCTACTGGCTGCACGTGCACACTAATGGAGAACCCTAAATGTTATCGCAGGTGAAAAGCTCACCAAGTGGCACAACTATTCGGACTAAAACTAAGGCTTTTGTCTGGCAGATTAGTGTCCTGAAAGCACTCAAAACTAGGATGTATTTATCAAAATATGATATTATTTTCCCAGATTCAGGGTATTTTGGCCCTAAACTGCCAAAGAAGTGCCATAGTTGTGCTTCTGTTCATGGTTGCTTGGTTGTCATATGGTTTATTTTGGGCTTTACTTCTTCAGCCAATTTCAGGATTAAACTTTGCTACTACATGTTCAGTCTTCACCTTCCAACTGCTGACCCAAATTTCTCAAGAAGAACTCTTTACTGTTTTTTGTAATAATGTTTTTTTTAGCTTTTTTTTTGCGAGCATAATTTCTTTTTATGCGAGACTAGCAGCACTCTCATAATTTAAATATATGATGTTACCGCTATTATATCCTGTTCTCTCACACCTTTTCTTCAACAACAATTTCGAAAAAATAACCGGTATATAATAGTGTTAAGTGAAAGCCGCACCGCCATATTAGAATTTTTTTAATTAGGTATAATCACAATTTTAATAGTTATATTTATTTTAGTCACCCGCATGAATGGGCATCTTGTCGTATAATTTACACTATTACCTGATCAGAAATGAGACTCTGTAAACAGTGCCTACATACCTTGAATAGATCATCAGGCATTCCTTTTTTACGTAAGGAATGAACTCCATATTGAGTTATACACCATAGAAGCATTCTCATTATTTAAGACTATCATATTAGCACGGATGAAGGCGACGAGGGATGAATATTGAACTTAGAATAAAGGTTAAATCGGCGAACTTATTCAAGAAACAAAAGGAAGAACAAAACATCAAGAAAGCAGCAGCGAGCTAAGACGGCGGCAGCACGGAGCGAAAGTTTTCGGCGTGACAGCTGGCTGGAGCGAGAATGAATGTGCCTTGTCATCGGGAGGGTTTGATTTAGTCGAAAAAGCCTCACTAGGCTCCTTATCTACTACAATAGGCTTCTCAAAGATTAGGCTTTTAATATTGGGTAGTGAACTATCCAAGCAGTTCGAATTTTGGCGATGTATTAGCAAATGGCTGGCGATGGTCCTTTGGCCAATGACCAAAAAGTGACATTCATCGGCCAATGCTAGACCGATGGCTGATGGCTAGTGGCCATTGGCCAATAGCCAGAGAAAGGCCAGTCATCGGCTGATGGCTATTGGCCCTTGCCCAATAGCCTTTCTCTGGCTGTTGGCCATTGGCCAATAGCCAGAGAAAGGCCAGTCATCGGCCAATGGCTGACCACTGCCTGGCCTCAGGCAAAAGAACCATTGCCAGCCATTGGTCGATCTTTTGACAAACCTGTGGTGCTTGGAAAGGGCGAAAATGACTAGGCAAGTTAATTCTGGCCATCTTATCTTTTCTTCTTTTTTTTTTTGGGGGGGGGGGCGGAATGACTAAACACAAATCTTCTAGATGAACGGAGAAGCCTTCATTCTCGGTCACGCAAGCGGCAATATGCCAAAGTGTGATATTGTTTTAATGCATCCAGCAATATCTGGCCGAAGCGCAAAATTTCATATAATAATCATAATAGCAATGCACGAGTATAGAGTCATGACTCGTTTATATGGACTTCGTTAATATGCATACGCCGCCTTATTGACACCATTTTCGGACACAAACTGGAAAAATACAAGCATTTTTGTCTCGTCATTATGGACAACTCACATTTATGGACAATTTTTTATTGAGGGGGGGGGGGGGGGTGGGGGGGGAACGGAGGTGTCCATATTAACGAGATATCAGTGTAGTTTTGGGCGTCAATTATTTTACTGTACACATAAAACAACAAAATCCTGTTTTACTCACTTAAGCTCCATGTTCGAACTGTTGCGGTAGCAACCGGTGCAATGTCGTCCATTCCCAACCCGTAGCTTTTGAGCATTGATCCGACGTGAATGAAGTAGAGCTTGTCTGCATCCAGGTTCGTTAGTGTGGCAAAGGTGTTCATTGTTTCAGTCATGAAACATCTAAACTTTGCGTAAACACAACACCGTAGCTCGTATCCGTAATAGACGTCGTACGTCGGTTCTCGCTCAGTCCACTGCAAATATATCGACGATGGACTGGTGGCCTGTATCGCTGTTATCGTTGACCCGATCAGTTCTGGAAAAAATAAAGGTTTTATCATTGCTTCCCCTTAAAAAGGCCATGGATCAGAATTTATAACGCTAGTATTTCTGTAGGTTTATCGCTTTATAGATTCAGCATAATAATTATTTAAACAAGAACAAACAATCCGAAGTAAGTTTAGATAACACCTTTGTAATGCGCTAAATATTTTTTTATACGACTCTCACTTTAACATTATTTGGATTATGTTTTGCTCTTCCATCTGCCCAGCGTTTATTTCACCGGTAATATAAAGATTTCGCAAGTCGGTGCTTTAGTACAATTTCTATTTTTTTTTTTAATATGTGTAATCTTAATACAAATCGTGCAGAAATACGGGTTCATGTCTCAATAACATATAAATATAGTACCGCGTAAATTATTACAGAGGTCAAAACTGAAAGCCGTTTTACAGCGACAGCTGCAAGCGGTGACCACCCGGAGAAAATATATGGGTGTCCTTCACGGAAACTCCCAGTGACGCCACTAGTCACATGACTGTTTCCTGCCATCGCCGTAGAGAATAGACAAAAATAAATGTCTGTGTCTGTGGAGCCGGATTCTAAACAGCGACCTACAAACACCTGCAATCGTTTTTTCTGCATCAACCACCTATCCAACAGAACTACCGACAGAAGAAGTTTCCTAGAATAAAAGGCTGTATGCATCAAGCACCGTAGGTATACATTCCCTTTCTACTTTCGATGGATACGTCTTCCGCATCTTGCGCACAGCCTCGAGCGTGCACGCGGCGCCATATCATGGAGAAGGGTAGTTAGCGCTTGATGGAGGTCGGGCCTTCAAAGGAGACGACCTGCAGTTCTCACATTGTCAGTTACTACGAGGGTATTTACTGGACGCCACATTTGAGGGCGCTGTTCAGAACGCATGCTCCAGAGCGAGCTCACATTTTTTTAGGCTGCTAAGTGGCAATCTTTATGGTGTCGAATGCACGTTGTAAACAAACTGTGGAAGCTTGCCATCTGCACGTGTTCAGCAGTCGAGCACAGAGCTGTGGCCGTCAGTGAATACGCCCTATACGGCGATACATTGAGGGAGAGGATGGGAGGAGAAAGCACGGGGACGTCAGACCACAAAGCGCTGGTTGGAATGAGTAGTGGGGTAGACGCAAAGCTGGCTGACTATTTCTCTACAAACTCTTCGAACGCATTCGATTGCCGAACGCCGAGGTCCGGCGTTTCGCGTTCGCGCTCGAACGCGTTCGAACAAGGAGTAGAGACGAAAGCAGCCGTAACTTTGCGTTTAACCTCTAATCGCTCCTACCAAAGATGGGTGTTCTGACGATCCCGTGCACTCTCGTTTCCACGTCACACTCAATTTCTCGTCCCATGGAAGTTTCTGACTGCAATAATACCGCTAGAAGATGAGGTGTGGTGTCTTTCCCCTTCGAACGCCATCACTAATCAACACTAGTGGCTCCACGCAGCGCCACCTATTTTGCGTCAGCTACGTCGACAGCGCGTCTTGCAGCGTTCACGAGCCCAACGTTAGCCCGCGGCGACGCTAAGACGGAAGCGGCTGCTGATGTACGGGGGCTCTCGTCAAGCTGAAAGGCCGATGACCAGTTCGCGCTTTCCACTTTTCTCCCACTTCGTCCTTTTACTTCTTCTACCCTGTCCACCGTTGCTTGTTTCCTCCTCCCCAGGGTGAGGAGGATCTTCTGCCTTGCAAAATCTCCTGTCCGGTCGTCGGCCTTTAGGCGTGTTTGCAGCTTAGGGCGGGTGGGGGATTTATTAACGATGACGGGTCATGAGCATGTCTTGCCTTTTGGGTGGTTTTAAGAGGCAATCGACACCCCGATCGTGGCACGCCGTGTGGCTAAGCTTCGGGAAGTCTATGGCTGATCCGAACAACGTGAATTTCAGTTGTGGCGTACCGAAGAGGCCCGTTTTATAGTCCAAGAGTGAGTCAGGTAGGTGAGCAGAATCGAGAGCGGACGCAAAATTTACGTGAAAATTCTTAGAATCATGTTTCGGAGGCGGCGCAAAAGCGACAATGGCTCCGCTATGCCAGCGATTCACCCAAGCGGCCAGCTGCTTTCGCTGTCACGCACGTTACGCGGGCGAGGAATCTGCTTTAGACTTCTATAGGACAGAACGTGGATTTGGGAATTGGGGTGACGGTCACAGGAATAGAATTCGAGAACTTTGCCAAACTCAAACACCCTTCGCACACAAAAAATAAAAAGAAATAACTTTTGACATCTTTGTAATGTTCACTAATAACGCGAAATGTTAAAAAAGTATGCTTCTCTTCTTTTTTATTGACTTAAAAATAGAACCTGTCCTCTGTGACAATAATTTATCTGGTACGCAGGACAACTTTAGTTGCATTAAATTTTATCACAAGAATACAGATGATGCTAGGTTTTAATTCTAAAATATTTTTATTAACAGAAGGTGAGATACAATTGCCGTTTTCTCCATGTATTTATCAGGAAAGGCGGACTTTAAATGAAGGGATAATTGTCGTGCCAAGTTCACTAATCAACATAAAAAAGAGTGTTTGACTACTTAATTATTGCTTGTTCTCAGTCAGGATGCAAATGCAGTATTGACATAAAAGGAATGACTACTCGAGGCCACCACAACTTGAAGAACGTGCACTAGTGCAAATATTGTTTAGATATTAATCGTTGAAGTTCAACCGTTTTTTCGCTTATCTTTAGAACAACGTGCGTAGAAAGAGCGCATTAAGCCCTGCGCACAATGTGGCTGGGAAGAGTTACGTAGAACCTCAGGTCTCGTCGCCACTTGTGTCGTCGGAGCACTGATCAAAGACACGGTGCCGAGATAGTGGCGACTTTATTTAAACGACCAAGACACTCTTCCAAGCATATTTCTTGCAGGGCTTAGTACCCACATCTTGCGTGCCTCTCTAAATCAAGAAAAAAACGCAAAAAAATATCGATTACAATCTTAAGAACCATGATCTTCTCGAAAATTTGTTTACTAGCTTTTTAAATTTAATGACCGTCAATCCTCCAAAGACAAAATGAACCTAAATGCCAATAGTTAAAAACTTAATTAGGTGAATGTAGTTAATAAGTGTACTTAAATGTTCTCTTTTTTCAATTCATTTACTGACACTTAAAGGTCATGAAGACGTTGCATACCGTGACAATTATTCTTTCATCTGATTTCCGCTGAGGCTGATGAAGATGAAGTCTCTACTCGCGTAATAAATAACCATCCATTTTTAAGAAGTATGTTTGAATCAAAGTCAAGCATCTGCATATAAAGTAAAAATCCCAAACAAATACCTATTACACAACTATAATGTCGTGATACTGAGTTAAAACTTTTTTTCCAAAACTGCCTTTGAGTTCAAGGATAAAAGCTAAAAGTGTTAATTTCAACAAAACATTTCTCAAAAAAGGCCACTATTTAATTGTATTTTGTATGAAGAGTTTTTGAAACGGCATAAAACAAGGGAATAAAATAAAAGCTTTGGTATAACTTTTGGATCTACCAATCTGTGCGTTCAAAAATATTATTCTACAGCGTGAGCGAAATGGATTGAACGCAATTTAAACTGACCACAAAAATCTGTTTCTTAACTTATCGCGGTGAGATTTACTACAGAGGTTCCTGAAGCTGGTGGAAGCTTTCGCTAAAATTGAGGAAAGAATGGCTTACCTGAGGAAATCAAGAAAAATCAAAAACTATGTTTTCCTTGTACTTTAGATATACACTAAAAAAAACGATGTCTCACTGTGGCTCTTATTTAGCCAAAATTAAATGAAAAATTGGTGAGTCAGTTTTATTTATTTTCCATTTCACTAATTTTTCAATCGTTGTAAACGCCAGATTAGCCCACAACGAGTTTCTGATGATTTCAACTCAACATTCTTAGCGATGATTTTTCCATAGACAAAACCAGTTTTTATTTTCTTTCGATTCAGAAGATTTCGTGTATTCACGCTCTCAATTAATTATTGCACTAGCTTCAAGCACCTCTGTAGTAAAATGCAACGCGATAAGTCAAAGAACCGATTTATGCGGTCAGTGTAAAATCCGTTCTACCCATTTCGCTCACGCTGTATATTAAGATGCGAAGCTAGGTCTTAACAGTTTGTTTCTGCCAGATTGTTATTTACTCAATGAAGCTTACTTATACAAGCCAGTAAGTCTCAAAAGATTCCGGGGTTTTTCGGCCGATGTGTACGCTCATGACCTCCGCTACCTGACAATAATGGGAAAAACATTTTCGTCTCAATAAACAGATACTATTTTCATGTATATATATATATATATATATATATATATATATATATATATATATATATATATATATATATATATATATATATATATATTTCGAAGACGACAAGGTTTAGACCTGATGCTGCTCCGCGGCTTTTGGCCGACTTTAAAGTAAACACCGAGCTAGCTTTGAAAAATCCGGTTTCCTTTCAGGATCTTGTTGGGGCTATATTTTTGGACGCTAATTCTCATACAATCCGGCATATTACTGACGAATATGTTTACATTTAAATCTAAAAATGGAAATAAAAAAACATGTACCTATCTTTTGGATTGGAAGTCAACGGTTTATAGATATTAGTTTCTGCAAACTTTCTGAAATTCTGTGGAACTAAGGGCAGCATAAATTATTATTAATGATGAGCCGAGTTGCCGTAAAGAGATAGTTTGGATTTTTCTAGCTATGGCTTCGCCGCGCACGTTAAGCTTAATGAGACAGTGGGCGGGTTGAATGTCTGCTATCTTCGTTTGTTTTTAAAAACAAATAACTCTCGGATTTGTTGCGGGGGGGGGGGGGGGGGCGGTGGGGGGGGAGGGTGGTGCGGTGTTCGCTAACGCCGTCACAAGATGCTTTCTTTAGCACGATTTCTGTACTACTACTGGATCTAACAGGCTAAATACTTGGTATTTGTATCCCTCTTTTACAACCTAGCATGGAGAGGTCATTCCAGCTGCTGCAGTGACCATCTTAGATTTGAGTAGACGACAGTAGATATTTATTTGGGTAACCTACAGCGGACACTATGTTTGGGGAGGACCGTGTGTATACAATTTCATAAAATATCTACTAACGCAGGTTTATTTGAACGTTTATTGTTACCTCAAAACCAAGTTAAATTGATTTAATAGTTCACTCTTAAGGTTTATCAAGTCATCTTCATATTGAATGGAGGAACTCTTCTTATTTGGAGTTTTTGTTCACAAGGAGAATACCGAATGCTCTTGACAGAATTAAGAGCCTTCTACTCATGTTTGCGTCACTGAATTGGGCCAGATCTGCTGCAATAATTTTCGGTAGAATAATTTCAGGCATTTCAGGAGTGACTAACTGAACGAAGTCATCTGAAATTACCGTTGTTTCAAGCTCTGTGGGCCTGAGGTTGTTTAAGGAGGGTTATATTAGAGCGATCTACCAACGCCGGGACGTGCCGGCGTTGGTAGTGCCGGGACACTACCCACATGTCGTCACTGCAGGCATGCCCCACTACCTCTACGCGACAGAACAGAACTGAATGCTGCAAGTTTCGCCAAGATTATAAGGCCATGTCACTTATAAATGAACGCTGAAAAGAAGGACAACTCCCTCAATGTTATGTTAAATAAATAGGTTAGCATCAAAAGTAATTTTATGATACTCTTTAACTGCACTTTCCGGCCACATTAAATGCTTTCGTAAACCTACGTTACCAGATATTTTATGTAATTGTATATACTTTCCCGAACTGTATGCTAGCTTATATTTTTATCGGAAAGGGGGAAACAAACATTATTAGATCGAAACAAGTTTGCGAACAAATGTTTTCGCCTGCTGTAAGCAGCGACGCTTAGAAGAAGATCAAATATCATTCCAGGACTGCCGGCACATTGAAAATAATTTGTTCACCCCCATTTTCAATTGTGAAGTTGATACATTATAAATATGTAAGAAAACATACATATTACAAAAATAACATCCCAAGTGCGCATCAGATTTAGCTTGTGTAATTCTCTCTTAATTCGAACCCAACATCAACTTTGACATGTTCGTGAGACTTTATTAATTTATTGGCATACAAAAGGCGACCAAGTTCGTAGCTTAAAGGACAGCTCTGCCAAATTTCGAAGATATCGGGATAATAAGTGATTTCACATTAAAAAAGCAGTAACAAAAAACGACATCATTTGCCTCGCGAAAAATCCGATCTATATTGTTAATACCTGCTTTAAACACGAGCAGAAATCTGAACTGAAACTTCGGCTCCGTCTGGCAACATTGGCCTTGGGCAGCCAAGAACATGGCTATCACGTGGTAGTTGATGTCACGCGATCTACGACGGGCTGGATAGGGACGGGCGTGTGCCGGGAGCAAGTGTTGTCTCCAACGCACTCTTCATTGCGTTTTCGTGTCTTCGACGACGTCTCCGCAACTGCGGCATTCGTCTGCCCATGTTGTATCCGTAGTGTGAACGAAACTCCGGGAGACAATAATCGCAAACGGTGAGATGACGACGGCGGGGACGGTCGGCGCAATACGCCAATCACGTGGACACCGTTGAGCGCCGGGACTGAAAGTTGCTGAAGTCACCCGTTACGCTTGCGCGGAGAAGTAAAAACAAACAAAAAGGGGGAATGATGAGGACGTTTAGTTCAACGTTGGCTACGCCCGCGCCATAGCTTTGACTGCGGCGTAGGTTGCGCTCAATTGGTTCCTCGAGTCAGCCGATTTCGGCAAGTTGGCGCGTTGCAAAGTTTGCCGGACCGTTTGAGAATCATTTAGACAGAACTTGGTCGTAATATTTGACGAGTGGTCTTCCTAGGTGATACTGAGGAAACCTACATATATATCTTTTTTTTCAGAAACAAAAATGATGCGGAGTTACTCTTTAAAATTAGACTATACATATATTATCATTTTAAATATACGAATTTACATGTCGACATTCTAAGCGCCCTACATGCTAAATACTATAAAAAGTAGAATTCGTTTTTTTTTTTTTGAAAATTGGTGTTGAAACACGTACGTTTAGAGTTTTGTTTCGTATTCAAAAGGAGGTTTGCAATGATAACTTTATGTTACTACTGTGATATTGCACTGGTTGAATAGGTACTTCTTTAGGCTTTTGTTTCATTATAATTTACATCAAAAAATCAAATCAACGAAATTTTCCGCATCCATAACAGCTAAATTACAGTCAAAGAGGCCGGTTCTGGACTTCGTACAAAAGCAGATAAAAACAAGAACTTTGTGTTATTCCTTTTAATGTAGTTTAAAAACCACGTTAAAAGTTACTATGTTGTGTGGAAGGTGACACCCTGATGACGCTCCCAAATAAGCAAACTGTGACAACCGGTTGTTTCACTGTGGTTTTGCTGTGGTGCAGTGTTTCTTTCATGTTGTAATTCACTCATGTTTTGTTTTGTTATATTGTAATGTAAAAATTCCTATTTAGCTATCATTTTAGACATTTCTTGCATTTCGCAATCGCTATATGAATTCCTTTGGTGCCTGCGTCACAACTGCTGGTTTGATTGGCTTGATCAGATAAAATTAGCGCAAACGACAAGAGAAGAGAAAGGTGAGACAGGGACAGCGCGCTTGGGTCCATTTATGATATCACAGCTTGTTAGTATTGTCACGATTCAACATTTCCTTTTGTTATACAAATTAAGAAATTATTATTAATCCCCAAATCAGCCTTTAGTCCCTAAAGCCAAAAAAAAAAAAGAAAGACGTTTACAAATCCCTGTGATACGAAATTGGAGCACAGCTCTCGAGGAAGAGAAATGGAGGGGCCGAAGGGCAAGGTATGCCCTTCTTCCTTTTCCGTACCTTCTCCTCCTTCCCCCTTCCTCCAATTCAGTTTCCCCGATAAATTTAGCGGAGAAAATGACATCACATGACTTGGTGTCACGTCACCTACGAAAAAATTCAGTTGCTCCGCTACGTTTAATGTGAAATTCACGTCACGCGACCTCAACACCAATTCAATTCCCCGCTAAATTTAGCGGGGAACTAAATTGGTGGTGAGGTCGCGTGATGTCAATTTTCCCGCTAAACATACCGGAGAAACTGAATTTGTCCGCTAAATGAGGCGGAGAAACTAAATTTCCCCGCTACATTTTGCGGAGAATTGAATTGGTGTTGACGTCACGTGGTGTCAATTTTCCTACAAAATTTGGCACGGTTACGCCGACACCGACGCTGTCGCCGACAGCAACGCCGACGTTGACGTTGGGAAACATGAAAACGGGCGCCTAAGAGCTGAGCTCTAAAACTGGAAAACGCAAAATTATGACGCAAAACAATTTTCACTATCGGCTTAGAAAAAGATTTGCTCGGCATCTATTTTGCGGTAGTTGTTGATGCATGATCCCCTTTTCCTGAAAGACTTTAAATGAAATCACCCATATAGTTATTACATTTTAGCCCATCTTCTATGGGAGGCTACAAAGATGATAAAATATAGAGCATACTTGTTGTTTTGGTGATCACCCATGTCTCGATGGGGGCAGCGCAATTGTTATTCGGCAAACAGCGTTGAATTAAAATAGTAAAATTTTTGAGAGGGGATAAACCAGTTAGGAGGGCCGTTTTTTGATGTCTATCTGAAATGTCATGGCCGACAACAGCGGACACGACTGATGTTGGGAAGGCATCTTGTGACCCACGAGGAGAACATGTCACCTGTGGAACATAAAATAATGCGTTAAGAATAAAGAATATACTGTACAATACATTACACTTTATTCAGTTTCTTTTTCACACGTTTATACGAAGCGTAAAAAAATAGGCCAATTTATTATTGATGCAACCATATTTTATTAAGTCATTTATTTTAGCGCACTGACAGCGAAGAGGCAAAACACGGTTGGTAGGCATTTTCAAGATATAAGCGCACCTAGCTATTGACATTGCTACCAAGTGAACTACACATATGTTATCAGTTTGCTGCTTCAGAGAATAAGGACATCTGTAGATAAATTTCGCCAAAAAAGAGTTTCTAAAACAATCCGTGTTAAGGCACTAAGGCGCATCAAACTTTTATGTTGCGTTCTACATATGTTATCAAAGTTTTCATATCTAACTTCTACCAATAAAGAAAGGACGATGTAGGAAGTAAAAAGAAAGTGCTAATCTGGTTTACTAATTTCAAAACAACTCTTTTATTTAATAAAGAATATGCACATACAATAAAAAGGTACACAATGAAAACTGCACTAGCTTTTCAAGTGTACAATTGATTAGCTCGTGTAGTTGGCGTTCCTGAATGACAAGCTTTATATGTTTTACTCGGTTATTATGCGTAGTTGCCAAGATGTTGGGTCTCAATTTTACGTTCCGGAATTTTTACGGGCAAAAACTAAAGTTTAAGTCATGGGAGCACTTACGGTAGAACCGCAAATCAATGGTTGGCTGCGTCGGGGGCGTCACGTCTCCACATCGTGCGTGAGCTCTTACTAAACGAGATACACCTGCTCAACATATCTGCTTTACTAACTTGCCGGTTAAAAAGAGCAGGGTACGTCATGTCCCGAACATCTTATACTAGCTGCGCGACCTGTGAGATCACGCTGTTATCCAACATGAACGCCAAACAATCTATCCCGACCCAAGAAGCACGAAACGAAGTCACGTCCTGCCTTCCAGGGGACTGCCAGCGACTATGGCATGCCATAGAAAATAAGCTCCCGTGTTAAGCTCAGACACCAGCGATAACGCAGGAGCTTCTATGGTATGAGAAGGCTACGTATACAAGTTGGCTGCAGCACCCAGCACTGACCTCTCTCCACTCGCTAAGGCGCTGTGAACAATTTTTTTTATAGGATCTACAAAAAATGTGTTACTTTTTAACGCCCCGTTGCGGTTGTGAGCGGTGAATGGATATATATTTTTACCAGATATACACTTTTAACGAAAATTATAATTTACTCGAGAGACAGCAAAATTAAATAATATAGCGACCACAATTCTGTGATTACAACCCACACGTTGTGCACAGAAAGATTCATTTACGTGATGCCCTTAAGATATTGCATGCAGATCGTAATGTTCGTCACAAATTTTATGCACTGCTTAAAATGGTTAAAACGCGCAACAAACACGTTCATAAAAAATTCGTTCCAGTTACTTTTATCTTTCTAACGATACTTCGGGAACACTTTATGTTTAGACAAATATATGCTTAGTTGTAGTGGGGGAAGTATACGGCTGCCGCCTTTACAATGTTATTTCTGTGTGCTCTTTATTATCGTGAATTCCCAGTGCGACTTCCAGGATCACGCAGTCTTACACTGAGAATAGTAGTGTGAACTTAAAGTAAGCTGTCGGTGTGTTCTCCACGCCCTTGAAACTTCCGCTGGGGGCGCACAAGGTAGCTGCCGCAAAGGGAGAGCGTAGATGGCGTTTGTTTCTCATGTACCGGGCATCAAATAAACACCCTACAAATTGACCCGGCCTGATGTCGTGAAACCTCAATACAAATAGCTACGTGATATTAAAATATCTTGAGATATGCGGTCGCAATGGGCTCTCAAATTGAAAGCTTCCGCTCTTTCAGTTTTTAAGAAAACAAAGTAACATATTTACTAATGCGAAAGCATTAACTGTCCCATGGAACGAACCGGCGTTATCAGGTTTTGAAGCCTCGCCAAACGGCACCTAAACTCCCTGTCCGATGGAGCGAAGTCTGTAGTCAGTAGCAGCGAATAGATGGGTAAATTTCTATTGGCTGGCTCGAGTCATAGTTTTAAGGAACGCCACTCCACGGAGGAGCCCCCTTCATGGCGCTGCGGAACAGGTTAGCGCGCGCTCGCCGGACGCCCCGCGGGGGGGGGGGGGGGGGGGGGGGGGGGGGGGGGGGGGGAGGCAACGGGTGTTTTCTTTTTTTTTTTTTGGCGCCGAGGAACTTGGCGGTGCCTCAATACTCACGCCGCAATCCTCAAAGGAGCACTAAGAGACGTTGAATTCGACATTCATGCTTCCGCATTCACAACTCATACGAAGTGCTTAGGTGTCATATGAATTTTTTAAATCCGAACTATAAGAATATCAAACAGCTACGTTAGTATTCATTTAGCTGAGATTATGTAATTGCAGCTGCCCGAGCACTAACTCACTTAATACAATTGCACAGAGCAAATGAAATCCGCATTTATTCCCAACTTCCTAAAAAACACGGTGTTATATTTCTGTTACAAATTTTTACCTCTGCACTACGCACCCGATTGGGGCTCTGGTGCGGAAAATACGTCACCCATTCCTTGTTAAATTATCGATGTGAAAAGTATAAATCACTGTTAGCCCAAACAAGCCATCCTCATTTTTTTATTGTTATTCTTTGAGTATTCGATGAGGAGGACTCATGAAAACTAATATAGTGATAGAAAGTCCTAAATACAGGTATTAAACCTGAGAGGAAAATTATATCCCCTTTCGAAGCAAAACGCGAAAGAGCACCAAATTCGTGTTCGCGCCAGCAGCGTCGCGCAGTGGGCTACATAGGAAAAAACAGTGTAGAAAATAGTCAGAAATACTCACGCTAAAGGAAAAAACAGTGTAGAAAATAGTCAGAAATACTCACGCTAAAATGTGCATTCGGCCATGTGGTTCGCCAGGTGACGAGGGCAGTGGTAGGACTCAGTGGGATCACATGCAAATTTCGTGTTCCTGTCGCGGAAACAAACAACAAAATATAGAAGATACGTGTTTAAGTACTTTTGAATATTGTTCATTTTTATTATGTTGTCTTACTTTGATTATTTTTATTGTTAAAAGGATACACTATTTTAAAGCGCCTGATATTTTCTTCCTGTACATTGACCGAACGGTATGAAAAACTTCAGTTGTGTTAAAAAGTGAGCAAAATACGTTTACTTATATTTGCTAGCTACATATTTTTTCAGCTTATTTTCCGCAGAATATTCTCCTAGAACACGTATTTCTCTCTGTTGTTTATGTAGCCCAACCCAACTATATCGGGGGAAATGGATTAGGACATCTAAAATGTAATATTAATTTGTGTAATTCTAGAGCGGCTCTTTTAAAAATAATTTGAAGCGGCTTCTTTTCCGCATAGCATATGGGAGAGCCAATAGGCGCAATCTGATTAGAAAACTTGGCAACTGACAGCACACAGTTTCACTGAACCCAGTGCCACCATACAGAATTTTTTTGGGGGTGTGAACACAATTTTAGTCACATCATTCACCGAGCTTCCCCTGCAGATGGGAGTGATTGGCTTTGCAGGAGAGCAGAAGCTCTAGGATCCTTAGGGTATACAGTGACCTTGGTACTCGTCCTTGGTTTCCATGAATGTTCTGAGGCACGCATGACGTGCGATCTTTAGGGAAGAACTGAAGACAAACATCGCAGTGGAAGTTCACGTTTCATGATAAAATTTCGCTTCTAAACTTGTTTCTAACTAGCTGCTAATTTGAAATTTGGGCACAAGGTATAAATAGCCGTTACAAATTTAAACACCATCAAAAGTAGCTGCAACAAAAAATGCACAGAATGGGCAGTCTATTTCTTAATTAATATATAAATAGTCGAATAGTTAAAAACAGAAATTTAAACGGCAAAATATCTGCTCACAAATTCTGCGAAAAGTAGATGTATTACTTATGGGGTACAGCACGACACCGTGAGGTGTTTTATTTAACACTCTAATAATTTATTTCACTTCCTGCTGAAAATGACCTTTATCGGATACATTTCAGCTTTTTTTGTATCGCCATAGGAAACATTTGAACTAAAATCGAAAGCTTCGCCGCTACGTGACCTTAACTTTCACATTTCCCGCAAAACTTAAAAGGGAAGTTCTTCCGCTATTCATTCTCGGATAGTGAAAGGGAAATTTATTATTGGTGGTACAGATATTAATTAATTTAAATTTAGCATATGTCAAAATAATTAAAAGAATAAATAGATATATTTAACAATTTTCTGGGTTCACACCTGACCGCGAAACATCAAGGCGTCCTGCATGCTCTTTTAGGGAAATGACCACCCTGTGTTTGCTGAGTTGCGTGGTATATTCAATATAGGTGGCGGCTTGCCTCAGATATGTACCAGCGTAACTGATTGAAATATTCGCATAATGAAAATATAAATTCAATGTCTTACCAAGGTACTTTGAGGAATCTGTTAACGGAACTTCCGTGAGATTGCCTGGCAGTTGATTGGCAAAGATACCACTGAAACTTCCTGCAATTTAAATGCGAAATTCTATAATGTATTCATGTCAGGTCTATTGTTTCAGCAAACATCATGCATACAATTAATATATAGTTATTTAAATATTATGAATAGCAAGACGTAAGTAATTATAACAGATCTAGGAGTTTCGAGTTTGGTATTTTCAAAAAAATTATTGAATGTCTCTAGAATGTAAGCTGCTATGCAAATTAATATATTCAAATTTTATTAAAACGACCACAAATTGGTATATGGCTGTTGCAGATATACACTTTAGGAATGGCATGTGCTTTCTTCCCCTCGGTGAAAGGCGAAAATCAATCGTGGCCATCAGCGCAAGAAATGGAATAAATCAAATTGCCCTCTAACCCCAACTCGTAAAAAATATATCAAGCATTCAAC